ACCTTCTTTTGCATCTTGCAAGAGAACAGACATTTTCTCCAATGGCTCTCAAAAAAAATCTGTATCACGTAGATATATATAAAGGTATACTAAGAAATATAGGGCACATCAAACCTGCTCATACACAAATGCCACATTCACAATGCTGTCTATAATGATAACAGCTATGAGGCCAGATACAGAAGAGAAAATACCTATTACCAAAGAAAACACACAGAAATATTTTGTATACACATCTGGGTTTAAATACTGTTTTAGGAAACCAAATGTTTAACTCACTCTGTTTGCAACAGATATAACTACTTGTAACCATATCTTACTGAATGCCACGTAAGCTTTTTCTATGTTTGCTTAATTTCATATAGCAGGATTTTTTTTTTCACTGGGCCCTTTGTATGCTTGGCTATTTTCTAATTTGAAATACATTCTTTACCACATCAGTAAAACAAAATACATTGTATAAATTGTTACACACTTGGTATTGTATTGTATTATACTCAGTATATATACTGTTATAAACTGCAATAAATTGTATAAATTGTATTTTGAACAGTACTATAAAACCCTAACAATTAATCATCAGCCTTTATATAGTGCAGTGTTTCAGTGACCATGAAACCAATTTACAAGAATCCTTCTATCACAATTTCAACTCTAGTTGAATTCCAGAAATACAGATTAACCATTGCCAATCCATGAGTTTGGAATGCACCAGCTTTTTCTAAACATCACTCCAAGCTGCTCACTTCTGGTTCTGCAGTACCCTCTAGTAAGGTAGGTTCAAAAATACAAGCTCACTCACAGACAAGGCAATGTGGCAAGGAAGACAAAGTGAGTGCTCAGGATCAGTAATAAACATAAATGGAAATTTTTTTCCTCTCAAGTGAAAGCACCTATTTCACAGGAAAAGAGGTGCCTTCTGGTGAAAGCTAATTTAGTGGATTAATTTGACTTTGTATTGCCATTTATGTACAAGACATCCAATCAAGCCTTGCAGGGACAAATAACTCAAAATGCAAGATTGCTTTAGACTGCTTATAACCTACATGCCTAGATAAATATCCAAGCAAAAAGATGGGAGTGAATTCACATGAGTTTACTTACATTCATCTTCTAACACTATAAATGCTGTCTTGTTAACTCTCACAAATTCCGGCCTACCAGACATAGCCTCAGGATTATGCAAGAAAGCACCAGGCGTTAGGCTGGTTTGAGAAAAAGTGTCAGAGATAAATGCCTTTTGACAGGTGTCCTTCACTCAAGGGCCTGGGGCCTTATTTACCTGTATCTCTGTACTCTGGGATTTCTGGGCACGATCTTTCCACTTAATCTTGTTAGTATTTCCAAATTCCTTTTCAGAAGCTAAAGATTCAGTGTGAAATTTAGATGGTAACTAACTCTCTCAGTTCCATCAATTACATAATGAGAATTTGGACACTTAGTTCAGATGGAATCAGAAACAGGACCTCTTATACTCTGCCACAGAAACATCCACTCTAAGCTACTGTGTAACATCAGTTGAACAGAGAAAGCATGACTTGGGAAATTTCAAAACCCAGATCAATGTAAGACAAACTGTGTTATTTTCCACAGCCAGACCACAAGAAGGTTTCTTTCTCTGATAATGTTTCCATCTCAAATTATGCAATTCTTTGGCTCAAGTCCAATACAGGCATGTCTAAAAAAATCCCAGCTTCAGCCTTCAATAAAAGCCAAGAATTAATACAGTCTTTCTTAATTCATTTTATACCACAGGAAAGCATAGCCATGAATAGCACTGATAGGTGTTTGCAAACTTCAAAATATGAACTCAAAAAGTCACAGACTTTTCCTTTAAGTCTGACAATTTTGGGAGGAAGACACAATTCACAACTTTTGAACTTCCTAGCTAGCAGTTGCAACAGCCACAAAAACACTTTATAACAAAACAATCCTTACGGAAGAACTGAACCAGAAAAAAACCTCACTAAACTCAAAAACTAAAAGACCACAAGACATACCTTTAGTATGGTTTGTTTCATAACCCTGTTGTGTTTTGAAGTACTGAGATTCAGAACATGGAACACACTTAGACTCGGTTTCGGGAATCGTGCTCCTCAGGTGCTTGGATGGCGTGCGATCATCTCTGCACCCATTCAACCTCTGCCCCTTTGGAGACAGTATCGCTGGTTCTTCACTACGCTGTACAGAAAAGGTTCCTAAATGTGCATTTTCCAAGTTAATTTTTCCTATGTGCCTGGTATCATTAATATGTAGTCCACTGGCTTGCAACAGTACTTTTGTTTGATGAGCAGCTGAAGTTTTGAGTAAGGTATTAGATTCGATGCTACACAAGCTTGCATGACTCACAGGAGACACAACAGCAGAACGGCCACTAGTTTCCACTATATCTGTTTCCCTCGCAGGAGCATCAGCAGAATTTAAAAAAGTCTGAGAGGTAGACACATCATGGCCAAAATCCTCTGTGAGCAGTGCTTCAGGCCCACTGCTGGGCAGAGCATCCACCTCTGAAACAGAATCTTCTGTCAGAGCGACAAAGTCAGAGGGTGTCTGGGCAGCCGTGAGGTCAGCGGAAAGCAGTGGGGACTGCAAGGAGCTTCCCACGCACTCTGCCATCTCAGCTGGGCACGGAGGACAGGACTTGGCAAACATGGGCTCACTTTCCACGTACGATTTAACTTCCAGCAAGCATCTGGATTGCTGCACAGAGGAAACTGACTGACACTCTGGAGCTGGTTTGGAAAGTCTGTAGTGTGATGAAAAAGACTTAGTGAGAAGTTTTCGTGTGGACTGTTTGACAGAATATCGGCTCTGCTCCTCTGCAAAGCCTGAATCATCACCCTCATTCTTGCCAGAGCTTATGCAATTTATAAAGACATTCTTGTTAGCTGAATGCTCCTTGCCCTTTTCAAAATCATCTGTCAAAGACCTTGTTATCTTCTTGTTACGTGAGCTGCCAAAGCCAACCGAATGCCTTGCTCTGCTTTTCATGTGTTCCTCTAAGCTGAGTTCTTGAAAAGTGCTGAGAGAGGACTGCACACCATTTGAGATGTTAATGTTTTGACTAGCTGAGTCAGACTTGTGCTCACTCCCTTTTTTGTTATGGAAGCTAATGGAAGGGGTACGGAAAATACTCCGACGCTTTCCTGTGCTCCCTGAGCTGGAGTTAGTACTGGATGGGGAGGAGGTGTGGACACCAATGGCATTAGCAGAAGAAGGTGAGGAAGGAAGGGAGTCATGTCTCCGACTAACACTTCTCCTGAATATTGGCAACCGAGACACTAGAGTCGACCGTCTGGATCCTGAGTCCCCCATCAGGGCACAAAGCGTCTGTGGTTCTTCACTGCCAATAAACTAACCTGGGATGAAAAGAGAAAAAAAAAAAAATTAAGAAAAGATAAATTCTTCAGCCTCAAAGTCCACTGACTCTTAAGTATGCCTAAACGCATGAGATTTCAACATCAATTTTATGTATAACTGCAAGTTATTGCATATGCATTACTGAGGACTTTTAGAATTTCAAAGTGATGTTCAATAGGCAGCACTGAAAACCCAGCAACTGAGCAAAGATGTGGCTCAAAACATTCTACACATGAAAGGTACAGGTTTATATATGGTATTGTACAATGCAGATCACACTGGGCAACAGTATAGAATCCAAATGTCAACAGCTATACAACTATTTCAACCAAATGTCCTTTGCTTTTCTAAGTACTTGAAACAAGTCTTCTTACAAACTGTAGGCTCTCTCAGAGGATATTTGATTTTTCACTATCTGAGTAGACCATTATTTTGTGTTTCTAAATATTCAAATGTTTGCAAGAATTAAGAGGATTTAAATTTTTCAATCTTCACTGAATTTTCAAACGGATTTTTAATTACTTTAAAGTAATTAAAGTAATTTATAGACTCGATCCTGCTAAAGGCTGTATGGCGCACTTTGCAGAAGAGAAAATGATGGCATTACAGTCCAGCCAAAACACACACCAAAAATTCTTTCTAAAGAACTCTTAAGTTCTAGGAATTTACTGACAATATATGGGATCATACTTGCAGATCTGAACTGCAGTGCTTCCTTTGAACACTTCTCTGAAATCCTCCTGTAGCCTATTTTCTTATAATTAGCTAATTCAGGGGGTTTTAAACTAATGAAAAGTGTGTCATCCACAGACACTTGGCATTTTTTATTAATATTTAAGCAATAATCTTAAGCAATCTACTTCTGCAGATGTACTAGAAGAACATTACCCTTTATGAAATATGTACCAGTTGTATCCTCATTTTGTTCTCACTATAATAAATGACTACAGAAGGAACAAAAGAAACATGTAATACATAATCAAAAGAACAAGAGAGGCTGTGGGCACAATGCCCAACTGTAACTGCATTAGCTGCTGGTGTTCAGCACATAGAAATAAAAATCAAGTCATTTACCTAAACAATGTTTGCATGTCAAGTGCAAAAACAAATTAATTGATCTAAAGAGCAATTTAAGGTGTTATTTGGCTACAGCAAGTACCTATGAGCTATGAAATCACTATAGACATTTTATGGTCAGACAAAATATTTATTTACTGCCATCATTCTCTCCTCTGCCCACACCTTAACTGGGAGAACAACCCATCCTGGTTTAGAATTATGAAATTCCCCAAACTGAGAGCAGAGGGAAGAAGAAAACTGAGCAAAAAGCACGTATCACAGCTTATTCTGGAAATACAAAGGCTGTGTAATATTAGGAATAATAGAGATTATTCCTAATGATTGACCTGTGGATATACAGTCTTAGCTTCTCAGGTGGTAACAAATTTTAATAGAATACATTGCCTCAAACTGCAGATAACAAAATGGCATTTATTCAGTCATTCTTCCTTTCTTGCTTCTTGAAGGAAGAGCAGAAATAAATTGTCAACATTCCCTTATTGTCTAAGCAGCAGAAATCATCACCCATACACTATGGCCAAAGTATATATACTGGTCTTTCTAAGTCTACAATAGCTGTCAGAGGGCGATTCATAAAACATACACATCCATGTATATATACATGTATATATGCATATGTCGCGGTTTAACCCAGGCTAGCAAGAAGAGCCACACAGCTGCTCACTCACTCCCCCACCAACGGGATGGGGGAGAGAATCAGAAGGGGAAAAGCTAGAAAAAGCTCATGGGTTGAGATAAAGACAGTTTAATAGGGAAAGCAAAAGCTGCACACACAAGCAAAGCAAAACAAGGAATTAATTCACTGCTTCCCACAGACAGGAGGTGTTCAGCATCTCCAGGAGAGCAGGGCCCATCACGCGTAACGGTTCCTTGGGAAGACAAACACCGTCACTCCAGATGTCCCCCCTTCCTCCTTCCTCTTCCCACCCTATACACTGAGCATGATGTGCTATGGTATGGAATATCCCTTTGGTCAGGTTGGGTCACCTGTCCCAGCTGTGTCTCCTCCCAGTCTCCCATGCACCCCCAATTCCTTGCCAGTGTGGCAGTATGGAAAGCAGCAAAGGCCTTGACTCTGTGTGAGCTCTGCTCAGCAATAACAAAAACATCTCTGCATTATCAACTCTGTGTTCAGCACAAATCCTAAACATAGCCCTACACTAGCCACTGGGAAGAAAGTTAACTCTACGTCAGCCCAAACCAGCACAGCATATATGAATGCTTACCTGTATATACAGTTTGAATACTTTATTGTGAATATTTTAGTAATATTTTGAAAATTATTCAGATATTCCTTTTATTTTACATATACACACACATTTTGCAGTGTTAAACTGCCAAAGACTAGCACTGAGTTAAAGTGACAACTTTTCTAATTGCAACATAGGAAAAAAGTAACACGTATTTCAAGATATTAATACCCTCAAATACTAATGAAATCCAGTATTTTTTCACTTATTGCAATGGAGTTACAAACTGCTATATATATCCTATTGTCAGCAAAATAAGAGGTGTTTCCTTTCAGACTCTACATTTAACATAATTATTTGTGCTTATAATTTTATAGCAGTAATCCTTACAAAGTGAAATTCACTCTGGCTACATCTTTTCCATAAAACCATTAATTTTCTCTAACATCCTTGTCCCTACTACTGGCATCATTCTTAAAATCTGCAACAGAGGAAAAAAGAAAATAGCAGAGAAAGACACCTTTGGAATGGTATTATGTCATTCCAGACAACAGTTTCAAATTTAAACTGGACAACATTTCTGATCCCACACAGTCAGTTGAGGAACTAATAAAAGCTGTATCCTAAAATAAATTATTGTGTCTTTAGAATACTAACAAGAAGTCAAGTAAATAAGAAGGACCAAGGACAAGTGACAGTCTAGGAAGACTGTCAATTATGTTTTGAAAAAAATATATTTGACATATTTATCACATAATGAGAACACTCGAGCAAATAGTCACAGTATTCTGTATGGCAGTTTGAATCTTTGTCAAATACACAACTATTACTTTGTAATACTTTCCAATTCTAAAATCCAGTTATTGCTGAAACCAAAGTGTTTACTCCGTGCTGCAGGAGACAGACATTCAAGTTTTGGTTTTTATGGAATGGACTTTTGATGCACATTTTTGCAGCTTGTATTACATAAGACAGTGTTTGATATTAAGAAAGATGAGTAACCTACTTTGAAAACAATTACAGTCAGAGTAATAGTGAAGTATTTCAGAATCTGCACTTCCTCAAAAGCTTAGCTATAGCTCACAGTTTCTGAGCTCGTGGGTAAATGAGAAATGAAGCGCAAACAAAACATTTTCCCCTCTTATTAGCAATGTAGAAAGTTAATCAAATGGAAATATTTTCCTTTCATGTTGCTCTGCACTAAGATGTTGCAAAATGCAAATTAATCTCAAAACTATCCTAGAATCATCAGGGTTGGAGGTCTCAGATCCGCTCCGACTGT